GTCCCGGTCCAGAAAAGGACGCAACTGGTGGATCAGGCGAACCTGATAAAACGCCCCCCTGGTCACGGCCGACAAATGATCTTCCAGTGTCAGCCGTGGATCCAGGAGGACACCCAAGTTGCGTGCCTTCTCTGAGGGGGCCAAGATTTCGCCCCCTATAGACAGCGATGGAATCAGCTGACTATGCCGAGGCGCCGGCAGCCACAGCCACTCGGTCTTGGAAGGGTTGAGCCTGAGTCTGTTCCTCCCCATCCAGACCCGTACGGCCTCCCCGTACGGGAAATAATAATAATAATAATAATAATAATAATAATAATAATAATAATAATAATAATAATAATAATAATAATAATAATAATAAAAAAGTTGGAAGGTACCTTGGAGGTCATCTAGTCCAACCCCCTGCTCAGGCAGGAAACCTTATACCATTTCGGACAAATGGCTGTCCAATTTCTTCTTAAAAACTTCCAGTGTTGGCGCATTCACCGCTTCTGGAGGCAGGTTGTTCCACTGGTTAATTGTTCTAACTGTCAGGAAGTTTCTCCTTAGTTCTAGGTTGCTTCTCTCTTTGGTTAGTTTCCACCCGTTGCTTCTTGTCCTGCCTTCAGGTGCTTTGTAAAATAGCTTGATTCCCTCTTCTTTGTGGCAGCCCCTGAGATATTGGAACACTGCTATCAGTGTTGCCCAACTCATTGTCAGAAATTGTCCTTCTAACAGACAGACAGTGCTAAATCCCTTTAGTTAATTGCTTTCCAGCATCCTGTTGGGTTGGAAAGAATAAAACTGAATGTGGCATAGAGGAAGCTCTTCAGATTTTACTGGAGTCTGATTTCTATCATTACATAACTAACCTTTTAAGGGACACAAATGAACAACATTTGCAAGACTACAGATTCTCCAGTCCTTTTCCAAAGAAATGTTTGATCTGATCCAATATATCAGTTCATGTTTTTAATATTCCCATGTCTCTTAATGTATGGAAATTACATTGAAATCCTACCTACTGAAAAGTGTCATATGAATAAGTCCTTTGATAATATTTGGCAAACAAAATATTTTATAGCATTAATATCTACAGTATATCTAATTCCTGGTGGGCTGCAATGGAAACAATCCATCATACAACTTTTAACCATTTCAATTATAAGAATTAGGCTTCATCTAATATTGTTTTGCTAAACAATACTTGTTTTGTTTCTCATTCCTTCCTCTTTCTTGGATATTTTGTAGTTACTGATAGTCTATAGAAATAACTCTAAAGTCAGAACCCACTTGAAATCATATGCAACATTAATAATGCATATTCTATATATTTTTCTTAACAGAAAATTTTCAGAGCTGGTGACACTAATCAGGATGGAAGACTGGACTTTGAAGAATTTACACATTATCTTAAAGACCATGAAAAGAAAATGAAGCTTGCATTTAAAAGTCTGGATAAAAATAATGATGGTAGGATCCAATTTGCTGCTTCAGCTGTATATGTTAAGAGTGCAAATTTAATACAAATAAACAATAAAGCATTTCCACTATGAGTTGACAATGCATTAACAAATTTAGTCTTTGCAATCTTATGAAATATGGGTATTCATTAATTAATATCTTGTTAATTTATTAAGGGAAATAAATTATACAGTATGTATGAAATAATAGTCACGAAAGGGTTCTTTAAATCCTCTGGAAGTGCCAGTAAAAGTAAAAAAAATTCAAATTAAGATTGTTATTTATTGATATAGAAATGAGTGCTTAGAGTTAGATGCTGAAACCCTTCAACATTGAAAATGTATCTGTCATGAGGTTGGTGCTGCTGCTATGAAGCTTTGAGAGAAGAATGATTTACATTTGTAATGCAAAGCCAATAGAGGTCTTACAAAAAGGCAGCAGCCTACAATATCACGTTTTGCTGTGCTGAAGTGCTAAATGGCAGCATAGGTATTGCTAAACTACAACTTCCAGTAGCCCCAGCCAGCTACTGGATGATGAGAGATGTTGGGAGTTGAAGTTCAGTAGTATCTGGAGAATAAAAGATTTCTTTGCTTGCTTTAATATCTTGGACCAAGATCCTTAACTCTGTTAATGTTGCGGCAGAATTTGCTAACTGAGAAGAACTCTGTTCCAAGCAATAGTCCTGAATTATTCTTGGCAGCACCACGGTTTTAGAAAGAAGGATCAGTGAGACTTATTACTGAAAACTATTTTCTACAGAAAGGATTTACCACAGTTTTCACTGTACAGCAGAACTAACAGCCAGGAAAGGTTTTGTGAAAGTCCTCCCTATTTGTTAAGTACTGGGTAAGACACCGTTACCCAGATACTGTGTGCTGAATATTTCTGAAGAAATGTATTCTATTTTGATGAGAACATATGTGCTGCTATTGTTTTGAAGCAGCTGGTGAAGGAAGCTGTAGTTACTCTTTAGCATTTGAGCAGCATGTAGTGGGGCAGAGATTATAAAGTGGGATTTAACATACCCACCCCCACCCACATATCACTTATATTGTTCATCTGATGAAAAAGGATAAACATCAGGGAAAAGAAATTCTAATTCCCCTTTTCCTTATTTTTCAGTTTTTTAAAAACTTAGCTTAGGAATGGACAGAATCCGGCTGAAACCCTTCTCACATGAGAAGTATACATGAGTGTGTTTGTAAGGCCAAACAGGGGTGGGAGAGAGCCATCTATGTTGATTTAAAATCCTTGGAGGAAAGGCAGTACAATAAGGCCAGAAAATGGGTATTAACTTTCTCATTTATAAATGAAGTAAAGTCACTATTATTCAAATATTGTTCAAATCTTGTTTATGTTCCACATCTAACTATATATTGTGGCAGATTTGCCTTAAATTTCATGATGCCACGGTTTGTGGCACCAACAGTTTTAAGCACTTGTGATGTTTCAGGGTTTAAATACAGATTATATTTCTTTTAAAAATTATTTTTATAATGTATTCAGTTGTAGAATCTTATCAGACTTCTTCAATCTAATGCTGAATTACAAACCCTTAATCCCCATCCAGCATAGATAGGATCACTCCATTCAATGGAATAC